GGCGCCCAGCCTTTCAGGGCTGGGACGGGGATGGGCGCCTGCTGATGGGAGGCCCATTAACAGACTAAGTGCTCCGGGGGAGGGGGAGCCGCGCTGCTGCAGTGGTGTAGAAGCAAAGCGAGGGCACAGGATGGAGGTGGCTTTTCCTGCACACAGCTAAAGTGCAGCAGAACCGGGGTGGGACCAGAGTTCTGCTTCCCCTGGTCCAAGTTCTGACCTCCAGTCCCTCGTCCAGTCGGTCTTGAGCAGGTCCCTGGACACTCCGTCCCTACAACTGTATTCAGTAGGCGCAGGGCCCCAAAGAATGGGTTCTTGAAGAGTCCCTCTCACAAGCCCCCACCCAACTCGGGCAGGTAGCCCCGCCCCGTCTGCCTCTGGCTGCAGTCGCCGCCCCGGCCGCTAGGGGGAGCCGACACGAGGTGGGCGGGTCTGGGCGGGGCGGGGGCGGGGCTCGGCGCCCAGTCTCTGGTCGTCCGGGACAGACAAGCGGGCGGGCGCTGACGCCGCGGGGCCGAAGCGGGCCGCGCGGGAGCGCGCGGAGAGAGTGTCGGCGCCGTCGGTCGCCGTCGGGGATCCGGGGGTCCCCGATCTGCTCGTGGGTCTGCTATGGCGGGCGCCAGGCCCGGCGTCCATGCGCTGCAGCTGGAGCCCGCTACTGTGGTGGAGACCCTGCGGCGGGGGAGTAAGTTCATCAAATGGGACGAGGTAAATGTGGCGGCCCCCCGCGGCGCCCAGATCCGGGGACTCCCGGCGCGCTCCGTTCGATGCTGGGGACCCCCACGCCAGCCTCGCCTGGCTACGGCGCCCCCATCCCAGCCCGGCTGCACTCCGGAAACTTGAGTCCCCAGTCGTCCTGGTCATGAAGACTTTGTCCCCCCCACCAACCCCAGTTCCTCAGCTCGGCGAAATTGGCTATCCATACTTTGAGCCCCGGTAAATCCCGCTCCTCATTTTACTTGCTCTTTGCACCCCTCCCTGCCACACTAATTCTAGGTCCCGGACCCTGGCCTGGTCCCCAGATCCCTGCGGCGCTGGACGCCCTGGCGGGCTCAGGGGTCCCTCGTCCTGGGTGGGTGCCACTGCGACCCTGCTGTCCTCGTTGCCGGGCCCTAAGAGAACTTCTCCATTCATCACTTCACCCTCTCTTGGCTTTCGCCCTGTTTCTGGTTCTCAGCCCAGCTCCCGGGTCAGGTGGGAGCACCAAGTCACCCCCTCCCCAGGGAAAAGTACCCCCGTAATGTTCCTCCACCCTTGGAAACTTTGCTCTCCACTCCTTAGCCTTGGGACTTTGAACCCCAATAAATCGTGGCCTCCCCTTTCTACCCCCCCGCTCCTGGTACCTCCCAGATGCTCAGGCCCCCACCTGCCGCACCCCATCTTGGTCCTGTGCCCCACCCACGTTTTCACACTGCCCCCTCCTCTCTCCCCAGGGCCCCTACTTCCCCGGGGCCTCTACCCGGCCAGCGGCCAGAGCTCCCTTGCTGTTCCTCCCGGGGTCAGGCCACAGGCCTGGAAGACGCTGGGCTCCTTTCCGGCTGGGTGGGGCTGAAAGGCGTGGGAGCTGGGGGGAGGGGCTGGGGGCGTGTCCTGGGCGCAGGTGTTCGGGTGAGGGGTACCTTGGCGCCCCCCCCCAGGCCTAGGAGACCCCTTCCTCCAAGGCCAGTCTGAAGGGAAAAGTTCCCCCTTTTCTTTCCCGTGTGATAAACCCAAATAAGGAAGTGGGAACAGGGAGAGGGCCCTGGGGGTGGGGGTGGGGGTTGCTGACCAGGCTTGGGGCTGGAGAGCTAGGGACCAGACCCTGGGGAGGGGCCAAGGAAGCCCTAGGCATAGTACCTTCTGACTTCCCCCTCCTCACAACAATGGGGAACGTAAGCTGGAGGACTGTGTTGGGAATCCCCTGGAGGGGCTGGGACTCCGTGTCAGCACACTGGGATGGAGGACCGTGCATCCCAGCTTTGAGGGCCTCCTGTTCCCTCTGTCCCTAGATCAGTTGCTGTCCTTTGTAAGCGAAGTCTGCAATGGGTGGGGCTGGTGCAATCTCCATTCTCCAGAAGTGGAAACTGAGGCCTGACAAGTGGGCTTAGCTTAGGACCTACTGTGGGGCTGTGGCTGAGCCCAGGACCGTGAACCTGTGGGTACCTTGGTTGGCTCCCTGCTTCCCAGGTCACAGGACACTGTAATGGTACATCCTGTAAATCCTGGCTTCTGTTCTTGTCCTTGGGCAAGCCCTAGCCGTCCTGTGCCTCAGTTTGCTCATGTGTAAAATAGGGATAACACACAGGGTCGTTAGCAGGCTTGGAGCTACTAAATGCTTAGAGCTGCCCCTGGCCCATGGTGGGGACACATGAATGTGAGTTGCTGTACATTTGGTGATGGGATTGTCCACCAGACAGTGAGTAGCAGTTTGGGAGTGACACACAACATGAGGTGGGGGCCTCTTTTGACTGGAGAGGAGTTCCTGTGACCAACTAGCCAGTTGGGTCCTGGCCAAGTCTGAGCCCTTGATGACAGCCCTCTTGAGTCAGAGTCCTCAGTTCCCTAGGATGGCCCTGGGAATGTGCCAGGCACTGGGCACTCTTCAGAAAATGGGGCCGGTGTGCTCTTCTTTCCCTACCCCCTCCAATCACAGGGCTGTTTGGGAAAAGACAGCTCACTGCCCCAGCCCTGGACAATTTGTGCCTCTGTAAGATGGTGTGAGCCTGTAGGACACGAGGGTCCCCTGAGGTGTAAGATGACAGGTGCTGGGCTTGGAGGCAGAATGAAGGGTGGCTGACTAACCATCATGAGGCCGCAGGGGGAAGGGCTGTGGGGCCAGACTTCCAAACCCTCTGGTTTCATCCCACAGATGTCTACTTCTATAATGGGCTCAACTAAGGGGGCTGTCAGGTGAGGGCTCCAACTGTTATGGAGCTCTTGGGGCTTCTGGGAAAACTGAGCCCAGCACAGAGTCAGAGGAGGCCTCCCGGGCAGGTGGGTTAGATTTCATGGGTAGAGAAGTAAATGATTTCCCTTTTTTCTGGTACCAGGATTAAACCCAGGGAATATCTACCACTGAGCTACATGCCTAGACCATTTTACTTTATTTCTGTGGTGCTGGGACTTGAACCCAGGGCTTTTTTTTTTTGGTACCGGGGATCGAACTCAGGTTCTTGCACTTGCACAGTGGTGGCGAAACCACTGAGCTAAATCCCCTGCCCAAGGACTTTCAAACTGAGTACATGTCCAGTGTATTTTTTTTTTTTTTTCCGGTACCAGGGATAGAACTCAGGACCTTGCACTTGCAAGGCAAGCTCGGCACCACTGAGCTAAAGCCCCAGACCCTTTTCTGTATTTTTATTTTATTTTATTTTATTATTATTTTTTTGGTACTGGGGATCAAACTCCAGACCTTGCACTTTTGAGGCTGGTGCCAGAACCACTGAGCTAAATCCCTGGGCCCGTGTATTTTTATTTTTTATTTAAAAGGTTTTTTTTTTGGTACTGGGGATTGAACTCAGGACCTTATGCTTTTGAGGCAGGCAGCAGCACCATTGAGCTAAATCCCCAGTCCCTGTATTTTTACTTTGAAACTGAGTCTCACTAAATTGCCCACAAGGACTTGAACTTTCGATCCCCCTCCCTCAGTGTTGGGATTACAGGGATGCATCACACTGCCTGGTTAGGGGATTTCCTAGCACAGGGAATGATATGGCAAAAGCTGGGAGATGGGGAAAGAATAGGTAGTGACCCATGTGACAGACTCCTGGAGCAAAGGAGGAGAGGCTGGGAGGGATGGGGCCAGTACACTAAATGCCACACTGAGGACCTTGGGCCGTAGACAGCCACAGTGGACCTGTGGGTGCTAGATGAGGCTGGCAGGAACATTGGTATTTCTACACGAGTGACAGCTAGAAGAGTCCAGGGCCCAAGCCTCCTGCAGCTCTCCCTGAACCCTGCTGTAGCCCTCCCTGAACCTTGCTGTCCTGTGCTATCTCCAGGAGACCTCCAGTCGGAACCTGGTGACCCTACGTGTGGACCCCAATGGCTTCTTTTTGTACTGGACAGGACCCAACATGGTGAGGGCAGGTGCTGGTTGGGCCATTACAGGGCCAGGCCCCTCTGCCCTGGGGGTTGGACCCGGCTACTTGCTGATCTCTCCCATGGCTCCCCAGATAGTGCTAAGGGCAGGGGCTGAGGCAGAGGATGCTACTCCAGCCTGGGTGGGGATCCTGGGGGCTTCTACTCTGGCCCTGCAACTGCTCAGCCATCCTAGGGTATGGTTTCCCCAGGAAGTGGACACACTGGACATCAGCTCCATCAGGGACACACGGACGGGACGTTATGCTCGCCTGCCCAAGGTGCATAAGGTGGATGGGACTAAGGGAAGGAGGGGCTCTAGGGGCTAGGATACCCCTCCTCACCCTTGGCTTTTGCTACTCAGGACCCCAAGATCCGGGAAGTGCTTGGTTTTGGGGGTCCTGATACCCGGCTGGAGGAGAAGCTAATGACGGTGGTGGCTGGGCCAGACCCAGTAAACACCACGTTCTTGAACTTCATGGCGGTGCAGGATGACACAATCAAGGTGGGCTGGGGCTGAGGGGCAGCCTGAGGACTCGCTGCCCTGTCACTTACTGAGCACCCACTGTGTTCTAGGCTGTTCTCTGACTTGCTGTGTACCAAACTCCATCCTAGGTGAGGGCTGTGGCAGGGCTGGCCTTGTCTCCCCCCATTTACCTTCTACCCCTGTATGTTGGCTCCCCAGGTCTGGTCTGAGGAGCTGTTTAAGCTGGCTATGAACATCCTGGGTCAGAATGCCTCTCGGAACACCTTCCTTCGGAAAGCGTCAGTCCAGGGCTACCTTGGCATGGGGTGGCAGGTGGGGGGAAATCTTGTGGCCATTCCCAGGATGTGACTTCTGTACCTACCACCCCAGATACACGAAGCTGAAGCTGCAGGTGAACCAGGATGGAAGGATTCCTGTCAAGAAGTGAGCACCCTTTCCCCTCAGCATCTTCTCTCCTGCCCTGACCTTGGTGACCTTTGCCCCCCATTGACCCTGACCCCACTTGCCCGAATCAGCATCCTGAAGATGTTCTCAGCAGACAAGAAGCGGGTGGAGACAGCGCTGGAGTCCTGTGGCCTCAATTTCAATCGGGTATGTGGGGTGGGGTGGGGTGGGGCTGGGGGTTCTCACCCTCTGGGGCTGGATGTCCCAGGTTCTCACCCCTTACTCCTTGCCCCCAGAGTGAGTCCATCCGGCCTGATGAATTTTCCCTGGAAATCTTCGAGCGGTTCCTGAATAAGCTGTGTCTTCGGCCAGACATTGACAAGATCCTGCTGGAGATGTGAGCAGGGCTGGGCCCAGCTCCCGGTTCCCTGTGCTCCTGTGTCTGGTCTCTGCTCTGTGTGCCTCTAGCCTCATGGGGACAGGGGCACTGGTGGGCCAGGTCCCAGAGTACTGGAAGGGGGCAGGATGAGCATAATGTACTTATGCTCTGAGCCACAGATTCTGTGGCCCAGCTGTGGATAGCTCCATGTCAGTCCTTTGCCACAGTTGGTTTATGATATCCAAGTGGCCCAGACTTGTTATGGGACCTGCTTGAGCCTGCATAGCAAGTGAGAGGTGGAGCCAAGACTGGATCTAGGGTCTGGAAACACAGGGTGACAGCTGAGCATGTAGCAGCTTCCAGAGCCCTTGCTAGTGCCATTGCCAGCTCATCTGCTGCCCCAACCATACTGAGAAGTCAGGAGTGTAGATGGGGAAACTGAGGCCCAGAAGGAACAGAGATTTGCCCAGAGTTGCAATATGTGGCTGCTGGAGCCAGGCACCGGCCTCTGACTCCCTGTCACAGGGTGAGGGCTTGGCATGGGGGAGTGTTGGTGAGCCTCCAGCCTTAGCCAGCTTCTGGCCCCTTAGAGGTGCCAAGGGCAAGCCATACCTGACGCTGGAGCAGCTCATGGACTTCATCAACCAGAAGCAAAGGGATCCAAGACTCAATGAAGTGCTGTACCCGCCCCTGCGGCCCTCCCAGGCCCGGCTGCTCATCGAGAAGTATGAACCTAACCAGCAGTTCCTGGAGCGTGGTGAGTGGCAAGCAGCCAGGGGTAGAAAAGGGTGGGAAGGGCCCAACTGACCTGCCACTGCTCCACCTTAGACCAGATGTCTATGGAGGGCTTCAGCCGCTACCTGGGAGGGGAGGAGAATGGCATCCTGCCCCTGGAAGCTCTGGATCTGAGCATGGACATGACACAGCCACTGAGCGCCTACTTCATCAATTCCTCACACAACACCTACCTCACAGGTGAGTGGTGGGGAGCAGTACATACCTGTTCTCTTCTCCTCTGTCCTCTGGCCTGAACTGCCTCCCTCCCTGAGGCATCATTCTTTCACCTCATTTGCTCGTGTGTGGGACAGTGCTGGGGAGGTGGCAGGGGACGAACAATCTGCTCCTGGGAGTGGGGCTTCTCTTGGAACTTGCCCCTTTCGAGGTCAGAAAGCTTCCCTGCAGAGGGCTCGAAATGCATGCAGGAGTGGTGGCGCAAAGGTCTGGGGTAGGAGACCACTTGGTAGTTTAAGGGGCAACTTGGCAAGGCCATGTCTCAAAATAAAAAATGAAAAAGGCTAGGGTGTAGCTCAGTGGTAGAGCACTTGCCTGGCATGTTCAGGGCCATGGGTTCGATCTCCAGCAGGCTCCTCTCCCCCGTGAAAGAGAAGAAGTAAGAAAGGAGGCCAGAGAGGAAGGTGGGGTCTGAGCTGGAGCAGGTGTGTGGTGAGAGAGGGGGCATGGAAGGTTTGTGGGCTCCTGAGTAGGAGAGGCATTTTCGAGGGCAGCAAGTGGAAGGGGATGTGATCTGGTATGCCTGCAGAAGGCTGTGGCCAGGTACTCTGTGGGGATTGAATCGGAGGGAGGGGCCTGTGGTCCCCCAGACAGCAAATGGTAAGGCTGTTCCAGGGCAGAGGCTGGTGGCAGGAGTGAAGACAGGGAGGCATAGATTGGTACAGCCTTGGGGGCTATGCTGGGTGTCAGGCATGACTCCCACAGATCTGGCTTGTGAGGCAGGATGGTGGTAGGGAGAGAGGATGAGAGAAGATAGCCCTAGAGGAGGGATCAGGCTAACCCAGGCTGCCAGATGCCTGCTATGTGCCCACTTAGATGGACATGGGTGAGGGCAGAACCTAGGCCTTGCCCTGGGAGAGACAGTGCTGGCTCCGTAGAGCTGGCCAGTATGTGCCAGTGCTGGACTGGGCTGCCACAGGGGCCTCTGTGTCCCCAGTGTGGCCTGGTTCAGTGTGGAGTGGGAGTGGTGAGGGGCTGGGCAGGCAGGTGGCTGTGGTGACACAGTCTCATCCCCAGCGGGGCAGCTGGCCGGGACCTCGTCGGTGGAGATGTACCGCCAGGCGCTGCTGTGGGGCTGCCGCTGTGTGGAGCTGGATGTGTGGAAGGGAAGGCCACCCGAGGAGGAGCCCTTCATCACCCATGGCTTCACCATGACCACTGAGGTGCCACTGCGTGACGTACTCGAGGCTATTGCCGAGACTGCCTTCAAGACCTCACCCTACCCCGTCATCCTCTCCTTCGAGAACCATGTGGACTCGTAAGTGGCTCCTGGCTCGGGGACCCCATCTTCAGGCCCTCTGACCTGCAATGCCTGTAATGGAAATCTCTAATATGAATGCCTCTGGTGGTGGTCCCCGAGGACCCCAGAGATGACCCTTCCTCTGTGCTCTCATGACCTCTGACCCTGGGAACTGGCACCCACCTTGTGGGCCTCTTCCCTGTCCTGCCTCAGCTCCCTCCAGGAACTCTGACCTCTGACCTTGGCCTTACAGGGCAAAGCAGCAGGCCAAGATGGCCGAGTACTGCCGCTCCATCTTTGGGGATGCACTGCTTATTGACCCACTGGATAAGTACCCGGTATGGGGGCTTGGAGCTGAGGCAGGGCCCATGGGGTGTGAAGGGTGCCATGGAAAGCCCTGACCTGTCTATGCGCACCCAGCTGGCTTCGGGCATCCCCCTGCCCAGCCCCCAGGAGCTGATGGGCCGCATCCTGGTGAAGAACAAGAAGCGGCACCGACCCAGCACGACTTACTCTGTGCGCAAGCGGCCACTGGAGCAGAGCAACTCAGCCCTAAGTGAGAGCTCCGCTGCTACCGAGCCCTCTTCTCCTCAGCTAGGTAAGGCCTGGCTCTACCTTTAGCCTAGATCCTGACCCTGGATCACCTTTTGCCCTTACCTCCTGGCACAGCACCACTGCAGCCCAAACCCCCTGCTTTACTGAGCCCGTCCTGACCCAGATCTCCCTCCTCCCAGCCACTCACCACCACTCACCTGGGCATGGGACCTCCCACCAAACCAAGCTGTGCCCCAACAAGATTTAGTTTTGTCCAACTCCTGACCCCTCGTGCTTGGCCTCCTACTCCACACAGTCTTCCTTGAAGCTAGGTTAGGGCTCTGAACTCTGACCTCAACAAAGCACATCCTTATGCTTTTGCATGTGACCCTCAGAACCTCCACTGACTCCAGCCACCCAGTTGGCTATAATTTTAGCTAACCTTTGCCCTGTCACTTTACTGGGGGACCCCTGACTTCTTACTTTACTGAGTTCCCCTCTCTGTGTCTATGACCAACCCAGACCTGTAACCTATCTTGACATTCTTTGTCCCTGCTATTAAGGCTGTTGTACCCCAATTCCTGACTTCTCACCTTTCTGTGCCACCCAGCCTATCTCCCTGAATATAACTCCAGGCCTTCACCTTTGACCTGTGACTCCTCTGAACTCATCAGCTTTAATGCTTTCTGACCCCTGACCTCTGACCTCTCCCCAGACTGCACTACCTAGAGTATTCCTTCACTTCCCCACTGAGTTGCCCCTCCACACACTCAGCACAACCTCCAGGCTTCCTGAGCATTGGTCTGTGGTCCTGACCTCTAACCCCTGCTCTCTACAGGGTCCCCCAGCTCTGACAGCTGCCCAGGCCTGAGCAATGGGGAAGAAGTGGGGCTTGAGAAGCCCAGCCTGGAGCCCCGGAAGTCTCTAGGTGAAGAGAGCCTGAACCGGGGCTCAGATGTTCTTGGGCCTGCTGACCGTGAGGAGGAGGATGAGGAGGAGGAGGAGGAAGAACAAACAGATCCCAAAAAGCCAACTACAGATGAGGTCAGAGCCACATGCGGGCAAGTAGGAGGAGGTTTGCTGAGCACCCACTCTGTGTCAGGCATGGTGCTATGTAATGGGTCTGGCTGTGAACAAGACAGGCATCATCCCTGACTTCCTAGAGTTTAGTATATGTGTGCAGGGCTTGGGAGGTTTTTCTCAGTAAACAGGCCTGGAAATGAGTGTACAATTATACTCATGACATGGGTAAGGGAGGTTGGGGACAGCATGTACAAAGGACCTGAGGCAGGGACAGAGTGCAAGAAGAGGGGCCAGTGCAAAAAGAGGGTGTGTAGCTGGGGATTTAGCTCAGTGGTGCCGTCACCTGCTTTGTAAGCACAGGGTCCTGAGTTTGATCCCCGGTACCAAAAAAAAAAAGAGGGTGTATTGTGGGGAATGTTAAGAAGTGGAAATGGCAGAAAAGGTCAGTCTGATAGATTTGAGAAGAGTGCAGAGCAGGGAGGGCATGGACAGGGATGGCCAGAGCTCCCAACAAAGTAGCTGAGTTGAGAGCAGATGGCAAGGGGATGGTGACTAGAAGGAGTGGCTGGGAATGGAAATCTGAGCTCATGTACATGTGAGTAACTGAACTACCGGGGTTGCCTGAGAGGTTCCAGCTTTGAGGGTCAGAAGGGGAGTGGCAGGGAGGCAAGAGTAAAACCAGGAGGCAAGGGTGCAGGGCATGTGGTGCAGTTGGAAGGCTGGAGGGGCTCCCAGGGCAGGGGACAGCAGAATTGTCTGGGCCATGGGGATGATGGGGTCCTGCAGAAAGCTGGTGGGCTTGCGACTGTAGGGATGGCACCTCCTTTGTGGGGACAAGCTAGGGAATGTCCAGTGTGTTTGACCCTGGGCTTGGGGTCCCAGGGCACAGCCAGCAGTGAGGTCAACGCCACTGAGGAGATGTCAACTCTTGTCAACTATGTTGAGCCCGTCAAGTTCAAGTCTTTTGAGGCTGCTCGCAGTGAGTGAGGTGGGTGATGGGTGGGAGACAGCCCTGCCTGGCCCTGCTGGGCCTGATAACCTCACTCTGCTGCTTGCCAGAAAGGAACAAGTGCTTTGAGATGTCCTCCTTTGTGGAGACCAAAGCCATGGAGCAGCTGACCAAGAGCCCCATGGAGTTTGTGGAGTATCCTACCAGGCGCTGTGGGCTGGAGCAGGGGAGCTTTTAGGTGGTCCCGGTTTCTAGTGCTGCTGGAACCTGTGCAGGGGCCTGGCACACGGCACCCAGGCGTGGGGTTTGGGCGGGTCTGGACTGTCACAGGGCATGGGCAGGAGAGAAGTGGGGTTCAGCAGAAATTTGCTGGGGGAAGGGGGTTCCCAGGAAGGTGGGGCTTGAGCGGGAGTGGGAGACTGACTGAGGGCGGGTGCTGGTACCTTGTGTGGCCCTGACTGCCAACCTCAGATACAATAAGCAGCAGCTCAGCCGCATCTACCCCAAGGGCACCCGTGTGGACTCTTCCAACTACATGCCCCAGCTCTTCTGGAATGTGGGCTGCCAGCTCGTGGCACTGAACTTCCAGACCCTGGGTGAGCCCTGACCTACCTGAGCCTGACCCTGGCCCTCCTCCATCCCATCTTACTGACTTGATCCATGATTGGGCGGGCTACTCTTGCCTGAACAGCCCTCTGACCTCTCTAATCCCAGATCCTGAACTCAGGCCTGGATGAGCCCCAGTGAGACCCCTCACCTATTTGATCTTTCCTGAGTTTCCTCTCCTAACACTGGACCTTGAACTCCTGGCCCCTAGTAATCCCTGGTCCTTCTCCCTGTGGCGCTGCCCTGTCTGCTTACCGATCTCACTCAACCTGCTGACTGACCCTTGCCCTGCCTGTCTTGCCCCCAGACTTACCAATGCAGCTCAATGCAGGTGTGTTTGAGTACAATGGGCACAGTGGGTACCTGCTGAAGCCTGAGTTCATGCGGCGACCGGACAAATCCTTTGACCCCTTCACGGAAGTTATTGTGGATGGCATTGTGGCCAATGCCTTGCGGGTCAAGGTGGGACTGGAAAGATCTGGGCCAGGGTGTCCTGGGGGCAGGACTCTGAGCAGCTGCTGAGCCTCCTTGGCCCACCTGCACAGGTGATCTCGGGGCAGTTCCTGTCCGACAGGAAGGTGGGCATCTACGTGGAGGTGGACATGTTCGGACTTCCTATTGATACACGGCGCAAATACCGCACTCGGACGTCTCAGGGAAACTCCTTCAACCCTGTCTGGGACGAGGAGATCTTTGAGTTCCCCAAGGTAAGCTAGGGCCTATACCAGCCCAGACCTGCCTGGCTTCTCAGGTGGGTGACAGGAACCAGGTACACTGTGGCTGGTGGTGGTGGTGGGTCAAAGGACCTCCCAGGCCCTGTGTGTCCCAGAGTCAGGGTTCCCTGCCGTCTGTTGCATGAACTAAGAGGAGGCAGAAAGGGAAGCATGCAAGAGGGCCTGTCGCCCCCCAGTGGGGAGTGGACATTAACCTGCCCTGACTCGGAGGCTGGAAGTACTTGCCAGGAACTGAAAGCCCCAGCATGTGCCCCTCTTGCCTCCACAGTCACATGGGGACTGAGTCTCTACTTCTGACTTAGGCTTGGGCTGCCCTCAGTCCCCAACTCTCAGCTCATTCTATAGTTTCTAAGCTGACAATAAACTGACTTGTCACCTGGTGGCCTTGTCTGCCTTTGCTCATGGCTCAAGGCCTTATGGCTACTGGTCACCATTGGGTCAGGCTGTGGAAGTATGGGTCAGCTAAATGGTGAGAGTGGCCAGTGGTCAGCTTGTCCAAGGATGGCATGGTAGCCCAGTGGCCATGTGTCCACTCCGTGGCTCAGTGGTCTGGGCCCACAGGTGGTGCTACCCACGCTGGCTTCACTTCGCATTGCAGCCTTTGAGGAGGGCGGCAAGTTTGTGGGACACCGGATCCTGCCTGTCTCTGCTATCCGCTCAGGTGAGGCCATGGTGGGCTCTGATCAGCACTGGGGCAGTGTGTGTGGACATGGCCGGGCCGAGTGACCTCTCCTCCTGCCGCCCAGGGTACCACTATGTCTGCTTGCGCAACGAGGCCAACCAGCCACTGTGCTTGCCGGCCCTGCTCATCTACACTGAGGCCTCGGACTACATCCCGGGTGACCGCCAGGGTGAGCCAATGTTGGCCTGGCAGGGCCAGGCTAAGGAGGATGGGCACAGGGATGGATGGTTCTTTAGTCCTTCAGCTGAAGGAGGGTATAGCCTGAGGGCTTCTGTCTGAGCCCTGGCCTTCTGCTCCCCCAGACTATGCAGAGGCCCTGATCAACCCCATCAAGCATGTCAGCCTAATGGACCAGCGGGCCAAGCAGCTGGCTGCCCTCATTGGGGAGAGTGAGGTGAGCCCCGGTGGCAGAGGGATCAGGCCTCGGAGGTGGGCAGGGGTCCAGCTTGCCTTGGTCCTTGGGCCAAGAGATGTGGCTGCTGTGGCTGTGATTGTGGGTGGGGTGGCAGGGCTGACTGGGGCAGGGCTCTGGCAGAGAAAGGCCCTGTGGCCTTCTACCCTCTGCTGTCTACATCTTACTGGCCTTCCAGCTCAGCCATCTGGTTTCCCTCTCCAAGCTGAGTTGGTCAGTACCCTTCTCATCCCTCCCTTTGCCTGCTGGACAGCCTATCTGCTTTTTAAATTCTGTCTTGCCCGAACCAGACAGTGAAGCCAAGTAAATAGCAAGTGCCAATTCTCTGCCAGACCTGGTGTGAGCTCTTTTCACCTCCTTGGCTCATCGAATCCTCCCAACCCCCAGTTTTGTCCCCCTGTCCCCAGAGCAGAGATGGACAGGAGGCAGCAGTTGCTGTGTAAGACTGCTCAGGCTAAATGGCCTGATTGCGCTTTTAGCCCTCATTCCTGGCTTCTTAATGCTGGGCTTGTCTGTCACACTGCTTTATACAGGGACTTCTGATCACTTGCTCAGGAGCAGGTGTAGGATTTGTGTGTTTTTTGTTTTGTTTTTTTGAGACAGGGTCTTGCTTTGTAGCTCAGAGTTCAGGCTGGCCTTGAACTTACTATGTAGCCCAGGCTGACCTTGAACTAGAGGCAATCTTTCTGCCCCAGCCTTCAGAGTGCTGGGATTATAGGCATGCACCATCATGCCTGGCTCCATTTTGTTGTTTTGTTTTGGTGGAGCTGGGAATTGAACCCACAGCCTCATGAACTCTGGGCAACTGCTCTATCACTTAGCTACATCCCCAGCCCCAGCTGTAGGATCTTAAAGAAATAGAAACCATATTCCCTGGAGAGACCTTCCAGTCAGATCTGGACTGGAATTTCTCCAGCTTCAAGTAGGGTCAAAGCCGGGGGGTTCTAGGTTCCTTTGCCAGGGTAGTTTGAGGCCATGGAAGCCTTTCAAACATGGGCACCTGACAGCCATGAGGAGCGGTGACTTCTGTGGGGAGGAGCAGGAGCAGAGGTTCTGCCGCACACCCAGAGCCAGTCCCTATGGGGCCTGTGGCGGGCAGGTTAGAGACAGCAGCAATTAGAGCTGTGCGGCGCTATTAGCAGGAGAGGCTGGTGCCCACTCCATGGCTACTTCCTTTGCTGATTTAATCAGGAGCTGAGCAGGGAGGAGGAGCAGTGACTGGAGGCTGGGTTGGCAGCCCACAGATAGGAGGATTCTCAGAACCATCTGCGGGTTCCTGAGCCCATGCCATGGGCCTGGTGCCAGACTATTCCCTCCCTGGGGTGGACAAGGTTTAGGGGTCCTTATTCTGTACCTCTTCACAGAAGAGGGTGGGTGAACAAGTGGTCCTGTGGGTGTCACAGAAGAGGAGACTGAGGAGGTGACAGGTGAGGGGCAGCTCTGGGAGACTGGGCATGGATGGCCTGGAAAAAATGGCTTCTCTAGAAAGACCATTCTCCTTTCTCCCCCACAGGCTCAGGCTGGCACAGAGGCATGTCCGGAGGCCCAGTCCCAGCAGCTGGGCTCCCAGCCACCCTCAAACCCTCCACCTAGCCTGCTGGACACCTCCCCACGCCGGCCCCCTGGATTGACCACCTCCCCCACAAGCACATCTCTCAGCAGCCCAGGTAGGGGGCAGCCTGGGGGGTTGGTCTGAGGGGCGTGGCTCCCACCATGCCACCCCCTTCTCACTGTGGCCTGTTCTCAGGGCAGCGGGATGATTTCATTGCCAGCATCCTCTCAGGTAGGGTCAGGGGCTGCTCAGGGCAGGGTGGCCACCTAGATGGCAGCTGTCCCAGTCCAGCCCACCCACTTCAACCCTTGCCTTTGCTCTGGCTCACAGAGGTGGCTCCCACTGCCCTGGGCGAGCTTCGAGGCCACAAGGCTTTGGCAAAGCTCCGGAGCCGGCAAGAGCGAGACCTGAGGGAGCTATGCAAAAAGCATCAGCGGAAGGCGATTGCCCTGACCCGCCGCCTGCTCGAGAGCCTGGCCCAGGCCCAACACGCACCTGGTGCCCTGTGAGTATCCTGTGGCCACTGACAAGAATGATGGAGGATGTGTGTACACATGGGTTCCATGCACAGTGGGCCTGCAGACAGGGCCAGGGGCTGTTCCAGGGGGAGTGTTTGGTGTAGGGAAGGCAGAAGCTTCCCAAACTGTGCTCACTCTTTACTTTGGGAATGATGCCTCTTTTGAAGTTCTCCACAAGAAGCATTTGTCAAAACAGGACCCCACGATCTGGGTGGAACTAACAGTGCAGGGCCTAATGGTTTGCATGACAGATCTCACCTGCAGAAGAGTACCCTGCCCCCTCTGCTTTCCCACACAAGGGACCCAGCATCACCCAGAAGGTTCTCTCCATAGGGGTGGGGCCGCTGACTTGGAGGACATGGAGGAGGAGGAGGTGAAGCAGTACAGAGAATTCCAGAACAGGCAGGTGCAGAGCCTGCTGGAACTAAGGGAGGCCCACGCAGATGTGGAGGCTGAGCGGAGGCTGGAGCACCTGAGACAGGTGGGGAGCACGGTGGCCAGGGAGCCAAGGATGCTATCATGTGGAGGCATCAGTCCTCTGGTACCCACTGGCTGCCTGTGTCCCCAGACTCAGCAGCGACTCAGAGAGATCGTACTGGAGGCACACACAACTCAGTTCAAGCGGCTGAAGGAGACGAATGAGAGGTGAAGGCCAAGGATCTTATGTGGGTGGTGCAGGGATTCCTGGTACCAGAAGGATAGGGGCCCCAGTCCTGTCCCTGACGCCTGTTCTTCTACCCCCCTCTCCAGAGAGAAGAAGGAGCTACAGAAGATCCTGGATAGGAAGCGCCACAACAGTATCTCAGAAGCTAAGACGAGGGAGAAACATAAGAAGGAGGCGTAAGGGTGTTAGAGCTGGGAGCCATGTGGGTGCTGGGGAGGCAGGGCGGTGCCTGGGCCCTGAGCCCACCTTGCCTTGCTCCTGTACAGGGAACTGACGGAGATTAACCGGCGGCACATCACCGAGTCAGTCAATGCCATCCGTCGGGTGAGTAAGGTTCCTGGGACACCCTGGTCCACCCCTGGTTTTTCATTCATCAGAAACCCACCTCCTGGGCCAGGGATTTAGCTCAGTGGCACCGAGACTGCCTCGCAAGGGCAAGGTCCTGAGTTCAATCCCCAGTACTGAAAAGAAAACCAACACACCCCCAACCCTGGAAAAAGAAACCCACCTCCTTGCTGTCTGGGCTGGAGCCATATTGTCCCAAAAGGCTTCTAGAGTCTTCCCTCTGGGCCTTAAAGGACCAGTGCCCTGTGGCTTTGGAGTCCTTGGGCCTGGTCTTTCAACCCTGGGAGCCTTCACCCACCTGGTTTTTGTGCCCAGCCAGAGCCCCAAGGCCATGGCCCCTTCAGCTGAGCCCTTGCTTGCCCTCACAGCTGGAGGAGGCCCAAAAGCAGCGGCATGACCGCCTGGTGGCTGGGCAGCAGCAGGTCCTACAGCAGCTGGCAGAAGAGGAGCCTAAAGTGAGGCCACGGAGGAGGTGGGCTGGTGGGTGCTGAGTGGCCTGAGTGTCACTCCCTGTGACACCTGTCCTCTTCCCACAGCTGCTGGCCCAGCTGACCCAGGAGTGTCAGGAGCAGCGGGCGAGGCTGCCCCAGGAGATCCGCCGGAGCCTGCTGGGCGAGATGCCCGAGGGGCTGGCGGATGGATCCCTGGTGGCCTGTGCCAGTAATGGTCATGCACCCGGGAGCAGTGGGCACCTATCTGGTGCTGACTCTGAGAGCCAGGAGGAGAACACGCAGCTCTGAACTGGCTGAGCAAGAGGTGGCCACCAGGGTGGGCACTGGGCAGAGGGCAGCAGAAGACACTAATGCTTTTTTTTTTTTTAACTTTTGACCTTTAGAAATTTTATTTTTTTAAACCTAGGGCAATGCCCCACTAACTCCCTTCATCTTCCTGGGGCCTCCTTACCTCCTTCTTAACTTTATCCTAGAGAAAGGCCTGGTCTGGGCCTCGCCCTCCATGAAACCCATATCCCAGATGGCCATTGTTTCCTTCACTTCCCAGGGAGTACTGGGTGGAGACTTGGAACTCTGGGAAGTCTGGGTCACACTCTTTCTTTGTCCATTGGGATTTTTTTTTTTAACCTGAATAAAAGTGGATATCAGGGACCCTGTGTGCAGTGTGGTTTGGAGAGGACTGTGGGTCCTAGGTTTGGCTCTGCCATTTCCTAAGGGTCCTCAGCTTCTTCATCTATAAAATGGGCTGTGGGGTTGTGGTCAGAGCCCCAGCCAAGTGTTGCTGGCTTTGAACTTGACCATCTTGCCCAGAACCTGCAGTGACCTTTCTCACCGCCACAGGAGGCTCTGGACAATCCTGGGCCTTTCTGCTTCTCTGCCCTCTATCCCCAGTTTGGTGTCCAGGTTTCCCCTTCCCCAGTACTTTCCTCCCCCAGGCTCTCCCTGTCCCCTCATCACAGAGGCACAGGCTGCTTCAGGAAGCCTTCCCTGCCCCCCTTCCTGTTGCCTGATATGACCCAAACACCCAGCATCTTCCGCCGGGGCTACTCTGGGCCCTACACAGGCAGCTGACCATTGGGGATGGACAGCTGGGTGGAGCTGGCCTTCAGAGATAGATGGGATGGGGCCCTGCCTATGACCCCTGGGAGAAGGGAAGCATGTAGTCCCCGACCTGGCAGGGGCAGGGACACCTTGTATCCCCCTAATCCCTGTGAGGGAGATGTTCTGCCTCTTTTACAGATGAAGAAACAGGTCCTGAGTGGAAGTTACAAGTGCTGGGCAACAACTGACTGGAGATATCCTAACCCGGAGGCAGGGCAGCCTGGACCTTCTATGGCCCACTGTCTTCAGCCAGCCTAGAGGACCTGCTCCATGCTCTGGACCAACGTGGAGCCACAGAGACCCCCACAGTAGGGGTGCAAGGGTGCGGCCACTCTGAAGCAGGGTCAGGCTGGCACCTCTTCAAGGCCTCTCCCTGCTTCCTGTCCCTTCCTAGGCTGGCGGCTCCCTCCTCCAGAGGAAGGCAACCTCTTATCTGCACTTATCTCCTGCCAATAGAGTGTTTGCTTTGCTTTGTTTTTGCTGCAGCCTCAGGCAAACAGATGAGGTGGAGAGGCCAGAGAAATAGGGTGGCCAGAGCAGGGCCTTCCCAGGGCTGGGACCTCTGCCCTGGGGCCTTCCTCAGAGTCCAATACCATTCCCAGGCCTTTCTCTGCCTGTAAGACTTCTTCCTTTCCCCAAATCTGCTGGCTTAGCCCCCCAGCAGCAACTCTCATTTCTCTGACTGGCCAAGTTCCATTTGCCCAAACACTCTAAGTTGGTTCTGGGTCCTCAAAACCCAGCTTAACTCCAAACTCTCGGCAGTGCCCTGTGAGGCCCTCAGAATCCTAGCCCTTGCTGTCTCATATCCCTCCCTGGGTCCACTCTGACTCTGCAGGCATCACGGTCCCAGCCCCCACCCCACCTTTTCTGTCAGGTAACTACTCAAGGTTACCACCTCCCTGCCTCCCCTATTCCAGGCAGTATCGAAGTTCATCTGTATCCTAAGCACAAAGTACTGGCAGGGCCTAACCGGGCGCCAATAAATCTTTTGGAACTGTGCTTCGAGGCCTGCTCTAGGTCCCCGTGCAGTCTCCCTGTTCCCTAGCGATCAGGCCGCCCCCGCCGAGTGTCCTGCCAGGTCCCTGCGCAGCGCTGGCCCCTGGTCGGTCACAGAGTAGCTGCTCAACAGTCTCAGGGGCTGACCCAGATTGGAACTAATGACACCCCCCCCCCCAAGCTGGCTTGCAGAACACAGTTCCAGTGGCGGGCTGAGATAAGGTCCTGGGGGCCAGCCGCATTCTGCCTCCCTGAAACAGAGCAGCCCTGATCCTCTTGCCAGCTCGACCCCTTCCTAGTCTGTTCCTGGATGTCACCCCCAAAAACCATGTTTCCTTCATATGTAAAACAGGGACATTTTGAAGCTATTAATGATAGCACTATCCTGGTCAGTGGGGACCCCCCCCCCAAAGCAACGGGCAGGAGACGCGGCGGCACAGGGTGGGCTTTATTAACACATTTGCGGTGAGCACAGGAGTGCAGCCGTGAAGGGGCGCTGGCACCGGAACGGTTAATCTTAGCGCTCTTCTCGGCGCAGGGGCCCTTGGGAACCAAGTGCCAGTGACAGGGTAACTTCCGCCGCCGGCGGGCGGAACTCCCAAAACTTCCGGGATCTA